TATATATATATATATATATATATATATATAGGGGTTAGTTCAAATAAAAACTAGTCCTAGTGTGAGAACCGTGAGAACCATATTTCGTGCTATTTTTAATTGTGTATAATGCTATTTTTAGTCTCACATGGTGCTATTATTTTTATAAATGCTAACATAAATTGTCTTGCTATTTTTAATAAAATACATCCTGATTATAAATAGCACTAAAATACAATCAATCATAGCACTACATACAATTAAAAATAGCGGTTCTCACGGTTCTCACACTAGGACTTAGTTCTCATTTGAACCACATCCTATATATATATATATATGTGTGTGTGTGTGTGTGTGTGTGTGTGTGTGTTTCATACTTTATTTTTCAAAACCTGTTGGGGGCCTGTGACCCCATTAAAATGGGCTGGATCCGCCAGTGATTATATTCATTTCAAAATATATGTCATTACAAATTTTTTATTCACAAATTTGATTTGGCTATAACGTGATTCCATAAAGTAATTATTTTAGTAAAATTTTATCATAAAACTTATATTATTTAATTAATTAAAATGAATTTATTTTTATATAAAATATCCAAATCAAAAATTTAAGTAGTTGAGTAAAAACAATCAGTCATAAATTTTTTTATGCCAAAAAAATCGACACCCTTTATCATGCTAAAAAAATGAACAGTGCATTTCAAACAAAAATTATTTGAAATGTCGTAATAAAAAATTTGACTAGAGCTTTTTCTATAAAAATAGATATATAGATACACGCACATTATATCAAAATATCAGGTCATATATTGATTACTTTTTCAACAAATTTTCTATAGAAAAAAAAATTATAAAATAACCTAAATAAATTTGCTCACTTTATACCATATATTGATTAATTTATTTCCTATAGAAACAACTATCAATACCAAAAATAAATTCATCCACTAAAAAATAATCAAATCAANATCATGATTTACTAATTGTCGAAAAAATTTAAAAGACATTTTATATGTTAAAAATTATTCAAAACAATTATTATATATACTAATAGATCAACAATGTTAAGGATTCTGACTCTAAATCCATAAAAGAGAAGACGATCATTTGAATAGGAACTCCATCGATAATCTTCATTTGAATAGGTTTGTATAGAAACAATCAATCCAAATATCCAACAACATATACAAATATATAATACAATTCATCATATTAAATTGTCATAATAGATTTTATTATCTTGAATTAAATATATAAAATTTTCAAAAAAAATAAACAAAAATTTAGAACGTATAAAACAATATTGATTCGTCCTTCCAGTTGTGAAACTTGGTTTGCCCGTTAAAATGATCCTCCAAGTGCAAATTGTCGAGTTGTAGATGCAAATATTGTTTTCCACTTGGTAGTTTGTAAAGATATAAGTGCCACATCCTTCAATTTCGTCAATTAATTGTGGAATATTGACGGGTCGGATTATACCAATAATTCATCCCCCTAAGAAAGTACATATTCAATAATTAATTAAAAAAGAAATCATAAAAAATGCAACATAAAATTTTGCATATAAATAATAATATAAGGACAAATTACTTCAGAATCGTGAAATATAATCTTAAGATAGTTTCGATAATTGAGCTCGTCTTCAATGTGTTGGAACATTATAATGATGTGTAGCTTGATCATTGACCTATTATTTCTTTTATATCTTTGATTTTTCTAAAAACCAAAGTCATTTTGAATGGGATGGAATAACTTATTCAAAAGTTTGCTTTGTGGGATGCATTATTTGTTGTCGATGTTTGGTTCAATTATCACACCAATGTGATGTTTATATAGTGATTGTGCATGTGCCATCTACCAATAAATTCGAATTTGAAAAAAAAAATTATCAAAAAGAAAATGTGAAAGTAGACTTTTTAGATATTTGGTAATGTAATCAATGATTGACATTAAATTGATTTAATATCATTTTCCTAACTAATTGGATAATGATTGACACAAAGTTCAAATCTAACAAATTTTGTTTCAAAAGAAAAAAAATAGGATGGAATTTGAATTGATTTGAATTCTTATAACCTAAAAAATTGTCAATTTTTATGGGATATCAATTGTTTTAAATTTTCAAAACCAAAAATCTGTCAATTTTTAGAGATTCACACGGATTATGTTAGAAAATAGAAAAATGATCATTTTGCAGAAGATAATTATTTGCAAATATTTTTTAATGTGTATCAAGTGTTGCTTAAAAGTATTGGGAATGTATCACTATTACTTGAAAAAATCGTAGCATATATGCACCGAGAATATACATCCCAAATTAATTCATTAAAAAAATAAAAATATGACCAAATTTGAAATGATTTGCATTCGAATTTTAATTTTATTGAATTTATTTTCCTAAATAACTGGATTAGGATTGACCTCAAACAAAAATTTTATCCAATTTTGTTAAAAAAAAAATGGATATGTAATGTGTTGTATATTGTGTTTGAAATCAATGATTTAAATACCGTACCGTACCGGCCGGTAATACCGGATACCGGCTATTGGTACGGTATTATTACACTCAAAATACCGGATTTACTGTTGAACCGGTTTGTACCGGAATCGTACCGTAAATACCGGTCCAAAATTTCGGTCAATAATAAAAAAAATAAAAATAAAATAAAAAAAATTATTAATTTAAAAATATAAAATTTGAATTGGTAGTTAAAATATTTTATTTTTATCTCATTGAGAAATTGAAATTAATGATTATGGTTATTTATTTTTTTACTTTTTTGCATTTGGTATTATACATTTTTATGTATATTTATATATATCATTATATTTGCTAGTCCAGTAATACCACTAATATTATCGGTCCGACCGATAATACCGCGTACCGATGGCTAGACCGGTATGACCACCGGTATGGTATTTAAAACACAGTTTGAAATATTAAAAACTTAAATTTAAAAAAAACATTAAATCTATTAATTAAAAAGAAATATACAACATCGGCGTGAGGATATCCCGTAAGAAATATGAAATTGCACGTTATTTCATAATAGATCTGATAAACTAATAAAAAAATGTACGAGGTATTGACCGAATGGGGGAAATTCAAATTAGAACAGGAAGTTCTGTCCGAACTAGTACTCAGAGGGGATATAAACTCTGGGACGAACAAGACGCAAAGAACGGGTGTAGGTCATCCTAGCTCAGCCGAACGGATGTTCGTAAGTGGAAGTCTGGTGAAAGCTAATCATTTGCTTAGATCGCCGGTACTATTTCACTAATGGCGACGAGATGTGGAGATCTGCGATCCAATGGTATGAAGCCCACCGGAACACGTGTAACAAGCTAGGAGCACCCCCGACCTTGGGATAGGCACAAAAAGTACCAAACATTTAATGTTGAGTGACCATAATATCTTTAGGATATCTCTTAAATAAAAATTCCAAGAGGAGGATTACAATGAGCTCCCCACTCTCCTATAAAAGGAAGAGGGGACAACATTTAATGCAATGAGAATATTGTCTCATAAATAATACTACAAAGAAAGTCACGAATAGTTCATACATCCTTTCCAGATTCTTCACACAACTCTATTCGTGCAGACCAAACCGAGTATATATCTTAGGGTATAATTCGAACTATTGTTGATTACATTTTCATACATCAACAAAAAATATAGGATAAATTGGTTTTTGCATATATTTTTTTTTTTCAAAAAGAAAATAAGATACCAAGTTCAA